TGCCCCTGAAGCTTCCCTGGACCTTGGAGGGGCTCAGGGAGGCAACCTTAGGAGAGAACCAGGCAGTGTCGGGCTGAGCGTGGTGAGCGTCCCTTCAGCGCTGTCCTGGGAATCCATCAGATCCAAACTAACACCGGCTAAGGCCTCCTCCAGCCGGGAGCCTTTTCCTGGAAGGCCCTGCAGGATAACTCCTCACCCCTGCTCTCCACTGAGCTGGCGGAAATCAGCTGGAATTGCAGTAAGAGGGAAGGAGCCTCAGGGAGGTGTGCTGAGTCGGTGGCTCATTTCACGTGGGGGGAGCCGATGCCTGAGAAGTGGTTCCCCTAGGGTAACGCCCCACTGGTTGGCTAATGGCAGAGCCAGGCGCATGGATCAGGTCTCCTTCCCTTCTTCCTACACCTAAGGCCAAGCATGAAGACCCCTCTCCTACCCAACTCCCCAGGGACCTTCTGGTCTAGGTAAGGACTAGGGCAGGAGCTCTGATGTGGCAGATTTCTGAGTATCCCTGCTTCTTAACTCCGACACACAACAGACACACATGCCAGAACCCCTCCACCCCACCCGACGTGGCCTTCCCCTAGACATGGTATCAACCCCCCCTCCAACCCACCCGACGATGTGGCCTTCCCCTAGACATGGTATCAACCCCCCCTCCACCCCACCCGACGTGGCCTTCCCCTAGACATGGTATCAACCCCCCCTCCACCCCACCCGACGTGGCCTTCCCCTAGACATGGTATCAACCCCCAGGCATACGATTTGGAGAATCAAAAGGGGAGCTGATGTCACTACTCAAGGGGAGAAGGGCTGATACCCACGTGGAGGCTCAGAAGAAATCCTGTGACTACCTGGGATAAAACGGGAAATACAATAGGTTGTGTAAGAAGGTATGAAAATTGTGGCTGCCCGGTGAGAGGGTGGGGTCTGGATTCAAGCTCTGGAACCACCTCTTAGCATTTACGAGAACTAAGGCAAATTTATTTATCTTGATGTGGTAAAGGAAAAAGGCTTTTCTTAATCTCTTAAAGCCTTCATTTCTTTTCCAGGGTTATGGAGAATTACATGGGATTTAAATTGTTGCAAAGTGTATTTACTGGTAAACGTCAGTTCCACAGTAGTGGAACTTTTCATTTGTTTGCTACAGTGTGTGCACTCGCCGAGAGAGAGAGAGAGCAATGGCCCTGCCCAAATCCCTTTTCCTCCATCCTCTCTAGATTTTGGGCACACACCCATACACGCCTGGCGTACTTTTCAAGCCACCAGGTCCAGGACTCAAATTGTACAATTGGCCCTGTGGGATCCAGCTACCTTAACCACCACACCACCTATTGGCCCCACTTTTTGTTTCCTTTAAATAAAGGAGTTTAAGCTTTTTATTTACTTAATTTGTTGTAAGGTACATTCAGTCGCTGGAGAGAGAGGGAAAGCGAGAAAGCACCCCACCCAGGGGGATGACCATGCAGCAATCCCTCTTCCTCCATTCTCCTCTTGGGACTTCAGGTGCACACGCACGTGCATCTGGCATGCTTTTCAAACAGCTGGGCTTGGAATTTGAACCATGTAGTCCGCAGTGTGGGATCCAGCTGCTTTAACCACCATACCACTGGCTGGCCTGCATAAATGTTTCTAAGATGATTGAAACAAAATCAAAGGCTTTTTAGGAGCCCAGCTTGTGAAGAGATCACCAGTGTGGCAGACCAGGGGTGGGGAGAACTGGTTCTGCTCTGGACAGTGGCACCTGCGGGGTGGCTCAGGGGTTGTCACCTGGAGGCACAACTGCACAGTGCAGCCCTTGGGTTTGCGTGTGTTCCCACTTCCTGTCTGTCCAGCCTGGTACAACAGTCCGGGGTAGGGAGCTTACCTCCACTGATGCAAGGACGAGGAGACTCTGAGAAGTGACCCAGCTTGCCCAGAGTCACACAGCTGGCAGGCATGGGAAGCTGGATTCAAGCGCATGCTCTTCAAGGATGGCCCTGACTCCCCCACACACAGCCCAGATTGGTGGACTCCTCTGAGCTCCCTTGAAGTTTTTCTCCAGGGCCAGGACTAAGTGCCCTGGAGCCCACCTCCCCCACCCTCAACCTACACCCAGAGGGTGGGCTGCACGTGGGCCCCCCACCCCATGCCAAAGCTGCTGGGGAGGGAAGGGGCAGCCACAGGTGAGGAATCCCCTCCAG